AGCCAAAATAACATCCTTTGCTGCCATATTTTAAAGCCAACACCTGTGAACTTTGCCGGATCTTTGACAGAGTTCGCAGGCAGCATGACAGTAGGATGTCCGACCGGTGCGGATTAGAAGACACCCGTGTTCGGTCCAAGTGAGTGAATGACCGGTATGGCCGAAGCCATATTCGGTCCGAGTGGGGTGACCATTATGGCCGTAGCCGCAGTTGGTCCAATAACTGAGGTGATCGGAGCGGACCCCATAGTCGCGCTCGATCCAACGAAGGTGGTAATCGGAGTAGACCACATGGCCGCACTCGATCCGAAAGGAATGTTGATCGGAGTGGTCTGCCAGACAGAGCCACCCAATCCAACCGAAACATTCACAACCGGAGTCTCGGAACTACTCCCGTTTCCGGTGTGAGCGTCAAAACCGAATCTGTCCATACCCGCCATTGCGCACGGATATGGCTACTACCTTAAGATTGTTACAATTCTCCTACGGATTACAACGGACGGGGAAGATGAACGGCCCCGGAAATAAAAAATAAATAAAATTCCGAATTTATAATTTATTTAGAATATTACAAAATAAACAAAGTTGGAAAAATAAAAATTTATATCTTCAAATGGCCTTGTTGTATGAGGACATTAAGCACTGGACAACGAGGACGTTAAGCACTGGACAACGAGGTCATTAAGCACTGGACAGCGAGGTCGTTAAGCACTGGACAGCAAGGTCATTGAGCACTGGACAGCGAGGTCATTATGCACTAGGACAGAATGCAGCGAGGTCTTTATGAACTGAACCTGCAACAACACAACACCGTGGAAGGACAGCAGAGTCAACAGAGCTGTCCTTAAGGTAGTAGTGCCCGCCTACCGTACCGGAAAAACGTGGGCACTCTCCTCCCAGGATAAAACCGCTATCGTGTGTGGAGATTGTACGGATCAACCACACATCAACGAACAAGAACAACGTAGGAACGTCGGCGATCAAAAACTTTAAAGGGGATGACCTGAAAATTTGGCCGGAAAATCAAGAGCTCTCTTTAAAAGAAAACAAAAAAAGTGTTTTCTCTTTTCCTTTCTCTCTTTCTCACGCAAGGCACACAAGGGAAAAAGGAGTGAGCTTTGAATTTTATAATCAAGGAGTTTAGAAAAAAAATGTAACTCCCACCATTAACCATTGGAATTAATCATTGCATTTGTGGTGTGTTAATGGTGATTAATTAGGCATTAACACGTTCATTACGCTACGCTCCGTTTAAAGTTTGTCCCGAATAATTGGATATTAATGGCCAGTTAATTTCGTAAAAATGGACTACTTTTAAAGAATACGTAAAATTAATAAAAGAAGATTGGTTCAGTAAAATTGCAAAAATTGCAATCCTCACCATTTTCTTTTATTAACGGGTTAACTCTGAGAATCAATTTCTCATTCACCCTCTACCATTTTTGGCGTAATATTTGTCAAAACATTTATCTCATTTAAGAGAAAACACGTCCATTAATTAATGGTTAAAACCGTTAGTGGACCTATTGACAAATATACTCTAGTTGGTCCATTTAATGCCTAATAAAAATGCCAAAAATTCCAACAATAGACACACGCACAAAGAAACACATTAATAACACAGTGCTGGCATTGTACCTAAGTTCAGACTTGTTAATCTAAAAGATTGGTTATAAAGATGACATGGAGTGTGATTTAGGAGTTATAAACAATGACAGAAGTTTTTAAAAAACAACTAATATATTGTGGGGGGTCAAAAACCGGTTAGGGAATAGAGTATTGCATGCACTCTCTATTCGAATAACAAAGAAACATGGTAAAAATTTTAATTTGCAGTCATTAGTTATTACCAGTCATTGCAGAATAAAGATATAAGGTGGTCACTTGGCCTTCGTATCGGTTGCAAAGTTCAGGCTCTATTGAGAATTGTAGTTTTAGTGAAGTTACATAAGATATAATCGTGAATGCAAATGCTTCTACATATCCTAATTCCAAAAATAGGAAATACCAGGTAACCTGTAACGACCCGAAAACCGGCTTAGTAGTTAGCCGTAATTTTAATAAAAATAAACATAATATTTGTTTACTCTAAAATATGAATTATTGGTAAAGTTGTCCGTTTTAAATGAAAATTGGGTTTTCGGATAAATCTCGAGAAATGGTGACCAACGACATATAATTTGTTAAATTTGGACATATGTGTAAAGCGTGGTGAGTAAAATAGACATCACAGTTCAATAAATAAATATAAAGATTTTATAATATATAATATTAAAGTATAGGAATTCCTAAACCTACCCGTAGTAAGCCCACAACCCCCACCCACATATCTATTAAATACTAGCATTTGCGCGCGCGTTGCGCGAGTTTTAGTGCCCGATCTTTTTTTCCAAGAAGGCTTATGTTATTTCTAAGTAATTGATTGGATATTGTGCAATAATATTGTGTACGTACTAATAAAGATTGTTTGCAGTGTTTTTAAGCAATGGCAGTAGTATGTAAATTATTGGGTTAGAAATACGTTCTTGGCATTTGCTAGACCTTTTAAAAAATGAATAAGATTAATGGTAAGAAAGGAAACATGAAGTAGCGAAATTGTAACACCCGCCTTCCGTAGACCCGGTTCACCCGCGACCCGACGGACTAGTAGGGTTACATGGGCAGTCCAAGAACTGTCCGTTACAAAAACATTAGTGGTTATTTAATAGAAAAAACGGTTGGGTTTTAATTAGTGAAATAAATGCCAGGGAGTTACTCCCAAAACGTGTGTAAATAAAAGTGCAGAGTAAATGCGGAAGTAAATAAATAAGTCCAGTCCAAGTTCAATAACGACAAGGGTGGGTTCATGCCCAAAAGATTAATCAAATAAATGGAAATAAATAAAAGCTTGTCCGTGCGCCGCCCATCTCTTCATCGTCACTGCTCTCCAGGGTTGGCACCTGCACCGTCATGTCTACCTCCGTGTAGCAAAAACAACTACACGCTCAGCAAAAGCTGAGGAGTAAATCTAACAAAAGAACATTTAATGATAACTCATATGGCTATACACATATTAATACATGTACTTACATACGGGAAACCACATGTTACTAACTGTTTAGTTTTCGCCTGCTAAGCCTATTTCAACACACAAGGTGATAGAAGCATACATGATGATAAAATGACTTGATGCATGACTTAAACTATCAGGGACACCCCTGGCTTAGTCTCACTCGACAGGATACCCCTGCACTCCGGACATCGTCCCTGAACGATAACGAGCCGGGCACGACGAAGATGTCGCGAGTGGACTAGCAAGACCGGGTAGTATCCGTAACCTGACTACTATGTACGTACACAAGCCGAACATGATGAAAACCCGTTGGACCCCAAAGGTTCCTGGACGGGCCCACTGTAGTAGGTGCACGAAGTCCTCCCTACAGCGGTATGCACATGATGAAACTTAAGACATGCGTCTAGAATGAACATGATGATTGCTCGATATTTTTACCTTTGGTAAATGCCAAGAATATATCAATTATATAACATTTAAAATAAAGATTTACTTTTCATGCAAGAAATGATCAGATTCTGGGTCAACATGGTCAACGGGCTCGTTCTACAAACTGCCCGAAAGTCTGCCCGCAGAACGGTCGACCGTACCCTACCGGCGGTCGACCGTGGGCTGCGTTGTGGGGAACTGGATGGTCGACGGTCCACCGTGGTCTTCCGTCGTGGCCGGCGGTCGACCGTCACGGTGGTGACCNAAGTCCTCCCTACAGCGGTATGCACATGATGAAACTTAAGACATGCGTCTAGAATGAACATGATGATTGCTCGATATTTTTACCTTTGGTAAATGCCAAGAATATATCAATTATATAACATTTAAAATAAAGATTTACTTTTCATGCAAGAAATGATCAGATTCTGGGTCAACATGGTCAACGGGCTCGTTCTACAAACTGCCCGAAAGTCTGCCCGCAGAACGGTCGACCGTACCCTACCGGCGGTCGACCGTGGGCTGCGTTGTGGGGAACTGGATGGTCGACGGTCCACCGTGGTCTTCCGTCGTGGCCGGCGGTCGACCGTCACGGTGGTGACCGTCGGATTGGCCATGGAAATGGTCCACCGTCCGTAGCGGCAGTCGACCGTCCCGGAGGCAGTCCGCTGTCCCTTGCTCCGTTTTGGTTCGTTTTGCTAATTTAACACCTAGATTCTTTTTAGAACAATAACACAACATTCATGAATATATTCCTAGGGATTCCTAGGCCGATATTTTTAGGTTTTACGTAATGAACATTTTGGTGGCTAACCTACAAACATGTATAGGTTCTACGTAGGTTGCGTACGATATTTCTATGAATATAACGACATAGATTATAACTAAATGTTCTAGAATTAGAGGGGACAACTACTCACCTCTAAATGAAGGGGTTGATGGTCCTATAGAACGAGACAAACGAACGGCTATCCACAAACCAACGAACAAACGAACGGCCTGCTACACACGTGCACTTCCTTCTCTTCCTCCTCTGCGACTACTGCCGGAATTCCCCTTGGTGAGCTGTTGTGTGGCCGAAACAAGGGAAGGGAAAAGAGAGTGAGAGTGATATTTGGGAGTTACAAAGTGGAGAGAAAATTGAAGGGAGAGATGGGGTTTTAATTTAGGATAATGATTATGAAATAATGGTGATGGTAATGATGGAGGTTAGGGGTGGCGTATGGGATTAATTGGGGGGTTACAATGTTTATTCTACTCCGTAATGTAAAATCTGACATGAACGATACACGCTTTTTCCCCCGAACGGGTCCGAATTGAGATCCGTTTGCATTTCTGGAATCAGACAGTCAAAACGAATTTAATGATGTGATCAAATAATTTTTCCAAGAACTTTTCATTTTCCCCAACTCTGGTCTGGAACCGTAATTAATTATTTAAAATAATCAATTCTATTAGACCGGGTTGCAGGGCATTACAATGATCCACCCCTTAAGAAAATTTCATCCTCGAAATTTACCTGATCACTGGTCATTGAAAAGATGTGGATAACGAGTGCGCATGGATTCCTCGGTTTCCCACGTCGCCTCCTCGACGGTGTGACTTCTCCACAAAACCTTGACCAGCGGAATGGTTTTGTTCCTCAACTGACGAACCTCGCAAGCCAGAATCTCAACCGGCTCCTCCTCATACGTGAGATTCTTATCGAGTGTGACCGTATCAGCTGGAATCACATGAGAAGGGTCTGAACGGTACCTCCGGAGCATGGACACGTGGAATACATCGTGGATCTTGCTCAACTCCGATGGTAGCTCGAGCCTGTAAGCTACAGGTCCCACCCGTTCAATGACTGGGTACGGGCCTATAAACCTCGGACTCAATTTCCCCTTCTTGCCGAAACGTAAGACGCTCTTCCAAGGCGACACCTTCAGGAAAACCTTATCCCCGACTGCGTACTCGATGTCACGCCTCTTTAGGTCGGCATAGGACTTCTGTCGATCCGAAGCCACCTTAAGTCGGTCTTTAATCACATGGTCCTTCTCCTTCGTCTCACGCACAAGATCAGGCCCTTCCAGCCTCCTCTCACTGAGCTCTGTCCAACAAGTAGGGGTACGACAAGGTCTGCCATACAGGGCCTCATACGGTGCCATACCGATGCTAGCTTGATGACTGTTGTTGTATGCAAACTCCATGAGTGGCAGGTATCGCTCCCAGCCGTCCTCGAAGTCAATTGCACACGCACGCATCATATCCTCGAGAATCTGAATCACCCTCTCCGACTGACCGTCTGTCTGAGGGTGGAACGCCGTACTGAAGTGGAGATCGGAGCCCAATGCCCTCTGTAGGCTCTTCCAAAATTGTGATGTGAATCGAGGGTCACGATCCGAAATGATAGATGATGGAACTCCATGTAGCCTGATAATCTCACGGATGTACAGCTCTGCTAAATGCTGAAGTGAGAAGTCACGACGGATGGGGATAAAATGAGCTGATTTGGTCAACCGATCAACGATGACCCAAACTGTGTCGTGCTTACGTGGCGACAATGGCACTCCCACAACAAAATCCATCGTGATGCGATCCCACTTCCACTCGGGAATGGTGATCCGCTGAAGCAACCCTGAAGGAACCTGGTGCTCGGCCTTGACCTGCTGACAAGTCAAGCACCGTGATGTGAACTCCGTGATCTCCCGCTTCATCGCGGGCCACCAGTAATGTCTCCTAAGATCCTGGAACATCTTGTTACTACCCGGGTGCATGGTATACACCATGCTGTGTGCTTCGCGGAGCAGGCATTCTCTCACCTCCCCCGTTGGCACAACCATACGCCCCCGATAGTACAAGACACCATCCCGAACTGCGAAATCTGGCTTCTCTCCTCGAGAGACGAGCTCAATGGTCTGAATACAGAAATCATCGCTGCTCTGGGCCGATGCTATCCGCTGCTGTAATGTAGGCTGAACGTGTAACACAGCTAGAGTCTTACGACTAAGGGCATCGGCTACCACATTTGCCTTACCTGGGTGGTAAGCGATGTGACAGTCGTAGTCCTTAATCAACTCTAACCACCTCCTCTGTCGGAGATTCAAATCCTTCTGCGTCAACAAGTACTGAAGACTCTTATGGTCGGTGAAGATACGCGTCGTCTCACCGTAGAGATAATGCCTCCGAATCTTCAAAGCAAGTACAATAGCTGCCAGCTCAAGGTCGTGTGTCGGATAATTACACTCGTGGGGCTTCAACTGCCGAGACGCATAAGCAACGACCTTGCCCTCCTACATGAGAACACACCCCAAGCCGTTATGGGACGCGTCACTGTAAACCGTATACTCTACCCCCGGAGTGGGCTGGACTAGAACTGGTGCCTGGGTCAGACACTCCTTCAGCCGCTCGAAACTCTGCTGACAAACGTCAGTCCAAACGAACTTTACGTCCTTCCTCATCAGCTTGTGCAGTGGCGATGCTATTTTGGAGAAGTCCTTCACGAACCGACGATAGTAACCCGCCAGTCCGAGAAAACTCCTCACCTCACGTGCATTCCGCAGAGTCTTCCACTCCGTGATCGCTGCTATCTTACACGGGTCTACCTTCACACCTTCGGCCGAGATGACATGGCCGAGGAAGGTAACCTCGTGCAACCAGAACTCGCACTTGGACAGCTTGGCATAAAGCTGCTGTTCCCGAAGAATGCTCAAAACGATACGCAGATGCTCGGCATGCTCCTCTTGTGTCTTGGAGTACACCAAGATGTCATCAATGAAGACCACAACAAACTGATCAAGATGCTTCCGGAACACACTGTTCATCAGATCCATGAACACTCCTGGTGCGTTAGTCAAACCAAAGGGCATGATTATGAACTCGTAATGACCGTATCTCGTGCGGAAAGCCGTCTTAGGAATGTCCTCCTTCTTGACGGGAATTTGATGGTACCCTGATCGGAGATCGATTTTAGAGAAGACCGTGGCTCTTCTTAGCTGGTCAAACAAATCGTCAATGCGGGGTAACGGATAGCGATTCTTGATGGTAACTTTGTTTAACTGACGGTAATCAATGCACAACCGCATCGATCCGTCCTTCTTGCGGACGAACAGAACCGGTGCTCCCCAAGGGGACACACTGGGTCGGATGAAGCCCTTATCCAACAACTCCTGCAGTTGAGCCTTCAGCTCCTTCATTTCCGCAGGCGCCATGCGATAAGGTGTGATCGAGATCGGTCCTGTTCCTGGAACAAGGTCAATGGAAAACTCTACCTCCCTAGGGGGCGGTAGACCAGGTAAGTCATCTGGAAACACATCAGGAAAGTCACATACCGTAGGGATGTCCCCCCTACTAGGCGCCTCCTGACGTGTGTCACGCACTGTGCACAAGAATGCTTCACACTTCTTGCGAATGAGTCGACGAGCATGAATGTAGGAAATGAATTCTGGAGCTTTCGGAAGAAGCTCACCACGGATCAGTACGTCACTACCGTCTCCGGCTCTTAGTCGAACAGTATGAGCTCCACAGTCAACAACAGCTTGGTTGGCGGTGAGCCAATCCATGCCTAGAATAACATCAAACTCACGATGTGGAAGCTCAATGAGACTTGCAGGGAAGGTCTTTCCCTGGACCACTAATGGGCAATCGTGATATACATGGGTGAGTCGTAGACTATGTCCCAATGGGTTGGACACAATTACTGGGTTGTCTAAATTTTCCCTCGGGAGATTAGGCACAACAAGCATAGGCATACAAACATATGATAGGGTGGAACCCGGATCAATCAAAGCTGTAATAGATGTATCGAATAAGGTAAACATACCCATGATGACGTCATGGGCTGGCTGCTCGGTACGCCCTCGCATCGCGTAAGTGCGGGCTGGGGCCTTCCCCCCTTGAGCGCCTGATGCTTGCCGCTTGGGCTGACTGGATGCTGCCGCCGACTTCTGGCTCTGGGCGGGCTGTGCTGCTGGGGCTGAAGCGGCCGGTGCGGTCGAGAATGCCTCACCCGGATTCTTCGGACAATCCTTTCGGAAATGCCTGGCTTGGCCACACCCAAGGCACAAGCCCAAAGTGTACCAACACTCCCCTGGGTGCCTGCGCCCACAATGGTCGCAAATCGGGTCGCGAAACCCATCTCCGCTCTTGCCCTTCTTTTGCACGGACGCATATGACTGAGCTAGGGCTGACTTCACCTTCTTGCTCTGGTGAGAGCTGCTCGGCGCTGCAAAGGACCTCTTGCTGCTGGTCCCCGCCTTCTGGGGTGGAGGAGGACGGGATGGTGCTGCTGACGCCCCCTGCGCCTGCTCGAATTCAGCCTTCTTAATGAGGGCTGCATTCAGGTCCAACGCATTCTTGTACAACGCGTTAATGTCACTTCGTGGGGCAATGAACAGATGAGTTGAAAGGTCAGGACGTAAGCCCTCCACGAAGCGTTTGCACCTCTTCTCCACAGTCGGTACGAGGTCTTGCCCAAACCCCGCGAGCTCGTCAAACTTCTGACGATACTCAGGCAGCGTGAGTTCACCGTGGGTGAACTTCAAGAACTCCTCTCGCTTCGCCTCGACGAAGTGCTCCGGGATGTACTCTTCATGGAAGAGTCGATCAAAAGTGGCCCACTGAACGGGCTCCGGAACGTCCGCTCCTACGCGTTTCCACCAGTCGTAGGCGGAATCCTGAAGTGAGGCAACTGCGAGGTCGCCACGCTGCTCCTGTGGAACCCTCAGGTTCCCCAACACTCGGATGGTTCACTCGAACCACCATTTGGCGATCATAGGGTCGCCGATCTGATCGCCTAAAAATTCCTCAGCTCCGTTCTTCCGAAGCTTCTCGATGGTGACCACCGCCACTGGTGGTGGCGGTGGCGGCGGTGGTGGAACGTATGCTCCAGCCATCTGCTGAAGGAAGTTAATGAAGTTAGCTGCGATCTGTGGCTGGATGATGGGAACGGCTTCCGGAACAGGACCCACGCCCGGGACCGCCTGCTCGGAGGCCTGATGAGGTGTGAAGCTTGACGCTTCAGTGTGCACGCTCATGTGCTCAGGCTCCCCCTCTGGGACAGCCTGTCCGTCGTTTCCAGCTGCTTGGCTCATTCTCTAAAGAAATAATTTAAATCAGAACTAACTACATTATGACATACACGTGATTTAAATAACGGTGTACCTTTCCCTGGAAGTGATGTGATGGGAGATGCGGTTGTGGACTTTTTGAAAATACCCTTTGACTAAGATGACTAAATATGTTTTTTTCACAAGAATCGAACTTTCTCTAATACCAAATTGTAACACCCGCCTTCCGTGGACCCGGTTCACCCGCGACCCGACGGACCGATAGGGTTACATGGGCAGTCCAAGAACTGTCCGTTACAAAAACATTAGTGGTTATTTAATAGGAAACCGGTTGGGTTTTAATTAGTGAAATAAATGCCAGGGAGTTACTCCCAAAACGTGTGTAAATAAAAGTGCAGAGTAAATGCGGAAGTAAATAAATAAGTCCAGTCCAAGTTCAATAACGACAAGGGTGGGTTCATGCCCAAAAAATTAATCAAATAAATGGAAATAAATAAAAGCTTGTCCGTGCGCCGCCCATCTCTCCATCGTCACTGCTCTCCAGGGTTGGCACCTGCACCGTCATGTCTACCTGCATGTAGCAAAAACAACTACACGCTCAGCAAAAGCTGAGGAGTAAATCTAACAAAAGAACATTTAATGATAACTCATATGGCTATACACATATTAATACCTGTACTTACATACGGGAAACCACATGTTACTAACTGTTTAGTTTTCACCTGTTAGGCCTATTTCAACACACAAGATGATAGAAGCATACATGATGATAAAATGACTTGATGCATGACTTAAACTATCAGGGACACCCCTGGCTTAGTCTCACTCGACAGGATACCCCTGCACTCCAGACATCGTCCCCGAACGGTAACGAGCCGGGCACGACGAAGATGTCGCGAGTGGACTAGCAAGACCGGGTAGTAGCCGTAACCTGACTACTATGTACGTACACAAGCCCAACATGATGAAAACCCGTTGGACCCCAAAGGTTCCTGGACGGGCCCACTGTAGTAGGTGCACGAAGTCCTCCCTACAGCGGTATGCACATGATGAAACCTAAGACATGCGTCTAGAATGAACATGATGATTGCTCGATATTTTTACCTTTGGTAAATGCCAAGAATATATCAATTATATAACATTTAAAATAAAGATTTACTTTTCATGCAAGAAATGATCAGATTCTGGGTCAACATGGTCAACGGGCTCGTTCTACAAACTGCCCGAAAGTCTGCCCGCAGAACGGTCGACCGTACCCTACTGGCGGTCGACCGTGGGCTGCGTTGTNTACAGCGGTATGCACATGATGAAACCTAAGACATGCGTCTAGAATGAACATGATGATTGCTCGATATTTTTACCTTTGGTAAATGCCAAGAATATATCAATTATATAACATTTAAAATAAAGATTTACTTTTCATGCAAGAAATGATCAGATTCTGGGTCAACATGGTCAACGGGCTCGTTCTACAAACTGCCCGAAAGTCTGCCCGCAGAACGGTCGACCGTACCCTACTGGCGGTCGACCGTGGGCTGCGTTGTGGGGAACTGGATGGCCGACGGTCCACCGTGGTCTTCCATCGTGGCCGGCGGTCGACCGTCACGGTGGTGACCGTCGGATTGGCCATGGGAATGGTCCACCGTCCGTAGCGGCGGTCGACCGTCCTAGAGGCAGTCCTCTGTCCCTTGCTCCGTTTTGGTTCGTTTTGCTAATTTAACACCTAGATTCTTTTTAGAACAATAACACAACATTCATGAATATATTCCTAGGGATTCCTAGGCCGATATTTTTAGGTTTTACGTAATGAACATTTTGGTGGCTAACCTACAAACATGCATAGGTTCTACGTAGGTTGCGTACGATATTTCTATGAATATAACGACATAGATTATAACTAAATGTTCTAGAATTAGAGGGGAGAACTACTCACCTCTAAATGAAGGGGTTGATGGTCCTATAGAACGAGACAAACGAACGGCTATCCACAAACCAATGAACAAACGAACGGCCTGCTACACACGTGCACTTCCTTCTCTTCCTCCTCTGCGACTACTTCCGGAATTCCCCTTGGTGAGCTGTTGTGTGGCCGAAACAAGGGAAGGGAAAAGAGAGTGAGAGTGATATTTGGGAGTTACAAAGTGGAGAGAAAATTGAAGGGAGAGATGGAGTTTTAATTTAGGATAATGATTATGAAATAATGGTGATGGTAATGATGGAGGTTAGGGGTGGCGTATGGGATTAATTTGGGGGGTTACAATGTTTATTCTATTTCGTAATGTAAAATCTGACCTGAACGATACGCGCTTTTTCCCCCGAACGGGTCCGAATTGAGATCCGTTTGCATTTCTGGAATCAGACAGTCAAAACAAATTTAATGATGTGATCAAATAATTTTTCCAAGAACTTTTCATTTTCCCCAACTCTGGTCCGGAACAGTAATTAATTATTTAAAATAATCAATTCTATTAGACCGGGTTGCAGGGCATTACAGAAATTCTATGCATAGGAATGAATTAAAAGTTGCACAGCATTTAAGGGTGTAATGTAATTTATTAAGTTTTGTCTGAATACAAAGTAGAAATGCATAATATACATACAATTGAATCGGGCATACCCCTTTAACACAAAGTTTAGTCATGGCGAACAAAACAAACAATGAAAGCAAGTGAGGAAGAAGAACGTTAAAAATTTAAAAAGGGATAAGTGACAAGGTGGAATCGAAGTTGTATGCAGTAGGCGCATAGAAGTACATTTAAAGGGGGTAATTGGTTTTCAAATATAGGAACTTTGCATTAAGCCAAAAGCATGAGTTACAAAAGCGTGCCTTAAAGGAAGATTCATAAGTGCTTTTGAAAGATGGGATATGGCTGGGAAGCTAGAACGATGGCATTGAAGTGACGGTCGGGGTGACATGCAGCCTAGGTTTCGATTCCCAATCCACTATATTCATGTAGGTCCCAAGTACTTAAAGGTTAAGTCTGTGTTACGACTGCTTTGTTGCCATATTGTGTACCTTCATTAGACCACATTATAATTTAAGGAAATAAACATTAAATAACTTGAGTAGGGCAACAAGAATTGAACCTAGGTATGAAAGAAACGGGCAGTGGTAGACCAAACCACAGCAAACAGAAGTTACCCGGTGGTAGGGAAAAACTTGGTTTACCAGTAACTTGGTTGTGCATTTTATTGATAAAACTTTTGTAATCTAGGTACGTATAAAATCATAATTCATATGTAGGCAAGCAAGAAGTTCTTTGGGTGTGGAGTTTTGGGTTTAGAGTTTGGGTTTGTTTTTGGATTGTGGTATTGGGGTTTTCTATGTCAGTTGTTGGGTCGCTAAAATTAATACTAAAATATTGTTGAAGGAAGACACATATTAGAACCTAGGTATTACCCCACAACCTAAGATAGAAAAATAGTTTTGGTTTGAGGTTAAGTATTGGCTTTGATTTTAATTCTACTTTAGGGGCTTTTGGACTTGAATCTAGTTATGGGTCTGGTTATTTGAAGTTAAGTTGTAGGGTTGTGTTTGAGTTTTGGTTCCTATGTTGCGGTTTGGGTTGGGTATCTGCTTCCAGTCCAAAACAAATGCAGTACTAAGCAAGGATGAAGTTGTTAATGTATGGTTTTAAAGACCTGTAAAAGGTTTTTAACAGGCAGTAATGAATATATTTTTAGTTTGGTTTTTAATATTTGAAATTAGAAGCAACAAAAAATCCTGATGTACCCATAAAAAAAGCTGATGTTAAAGATTAATCTTGTAAACAGTTTTGAAATTTAAACCAGTCCTAGTGAGGTATTGTTACAGGACCTGACTGTCAGAGTCATGTAGTAGAATTTTTTTTGTTCTAAGAAATACAATCTAAGGAACTCATATTGTTAGATGTAATTTTCTGTTCCTATGATGCAGCCACCCAGGGGGTTAACGCAAATGCTGAAATTTTCCTTCTATTACACAAACTTGATGAAATTAGTGCTAAATTTGAAAAGTGTTTCTCAGATGACATAAAAACCACATGAAAAATATGGCAAGTACTCAAAGACTATGTCATAACACAATATGTTGGGTCAGAACTATATAAATTTATATTCTGTTGGGGATATTTGGTAATGTAATTATACCAATATTGTTATGCAATTATTTGTCGATGCATTGGGGCTCAAACTGGAATACTGACCCATGGGCAGATTCACGTGTTAAACTTGACCATTTCGTATTGGATGTGTGATGACTGGGTTGGACCTATGATCATAGCTTTAGTTTAATGGGTGACGTTTTGCCTATGTTTCCTAAGAGAAGAGTTATAGAATTACGAAACCAAACCGTATAAGTAAAAGTGAAAATGAATTTCCAACAGTAACAGTAAAAACAGTATTTAAATGATGCCAAAGATTACACCTTTTAAGCCTTATTATCAGTATTTGTTATTTTTTTTGTCCCGCTCTTCAATATGTATTACTCCCTCTGTCCCTAAATAAAGTCTATCTTTCATTTTTTCTTTGTCCCTAAATAAACTTCTCTTTTCCCTTAAAAACCCTTTTTACCCCTTACTTTTTCATACCCTCCCTTAAATCCTCAAAAAGTCAAAAATGGAACTTTATTTAGGGACGGAGGGAGTATTATTTCTCTCTACAGGCGCATGTTTTATGGGGAAAAGAAAAGTCAATGTCTACTTAAATATGAGTATTCAGAGCCGTACTGCGCTGACGGGTTTGAATCAAGCGATGTTGGTGTCAAGCCTAAATCAAGCAGTGCCGGTGGCTGGCCAGGATCAAAGAATGGAAGTGGGTAGCAATTTGGATGTCATTTAGGTAGCCGGATGCGTAGAGTTTTGAATGTGACCTTGTTTGAAAAATTATTTTGACAAACAGATTAGGGATAAATCAAAGCAAAATCTGACCCATAAATGTTGTTAGACAGTAATTTAAAACTCAAAGGCGCAAAAGTACCCAAAGAGCAGTCCCGGTGTCATAGTGAATCTTTAAAGATAGAAACAAATTCCCAGGGCATTACGTAGGCCAAAAATAAAATGTGGAGTGGAGTGATAATAACCAAGAATTGAGGTTACTGAAGACATAAAATCCTTAATGTTGAATATAGAGCATAGTGAATAAGAGTAGTAGTAATCAGTAAAATGGATCGAAACAAATGAAATTCTGTTACAGAATGGGTTTGCAGTAACGAGTATTTCGTGGTTATTAGTGTTTTATGTTGAATGAATATATTATTTCATTGATTTTTATTATAATATTTATTTAAGTGTAAGTGAATGGTGTAATATATGATTAAGCAATGGTCACTTGATGCATTTCTTTCCGTTGTTCTTTGGTATTTAAACAAAATTCGTATGCAGTGTGAGATTATTTTTTTTAAGACCCTTGATTTCACTTGTGAAGGAAGTGTTGCTTCGGTTTACGAATATTGGAGCTGTCTAAATAACACAAGGTAACCGCAAATAAGAAGACCTTGACCCAAGCACAAGACCTAAAACCCCTAAATCAGTATTAAAAGCATACCCATGATCTGCCAATTGCCAAAAACCAGATCCTAACCCCAAATCCAGCCTAACAAACAAGTGAAACACCACTTCCAAAACACAGACACAAAACTTTAAGACATTCTACGTTTGAGAGAGTACCTTGGCTTTTAAAACGTTAATCACAGGAAAATGGTGGTCTGTAAGTTCTGATTAATTTCCCCTGCCGCAGGGACTTTAAGGAATTTGGCCTTGCCCAAGCTGCTTTCCACCTGATGTTAAATAAGAGGAATGCAAACAAAATGAGACATGAACTTTAAGGAAAACATGTTCATGATTATTATTGTATGAAGGTTTAGTCGTATGTATGCAAGTAAAAAGTAACTTGTGGATGTATGATTTTATAGGGCTGTGATAGCTGTTTGAAAAGGAATAAAGAGTATCATAATTTTGAAAATTCAATTTTGAAATGAAAAGAAACTGATATTTCACTTAATTGCAGATAATGAGGTTTTTTGGGTGTAAATAAGCAATTATTGCTAGCCATTAATTCTGTTGAATGATTCTTGTTATTTTGAATTAATTTGAATATCCCATTTTACATTTCAAAATAACTGATGCAATACCTGGGCCGATCCACAGTCCCTAGGAAAATATTGGGTATCCATCATTGGCGCCACCCGTGGGACCGATTGAAGCTTCCTAGCCTTCTGGGGAGTTGATAACGAGCCTATCTCATTCCTGCTCACTTGGAAAGACCTCTTCCTAGACCTAGGAAGAATCAGCGGTCCACTTCAAGTGAAGGAGATAAGTTCGCGGTCCACCCAGAAGGACTCCTTGTATTAGTTGGTCCATCATTCAAAAAAAAGAGAGAGAGAAAGGAGGATCGATCCTCCACAGAGGACCGCGTTCGCAAGACAATCATACAGAAGGATCGATTTCTTGCTCGGGGGCCGTTATCTCACGTTGGTCCACCTTTTTCATCAAGAGAAGGTTTCCAACTGACACCATGGGCAAAAATCGGTCCAGGAGGAACAAAATTGCTCCTAAGGCGCGAACCAACTTGGAAGGGAAAGAAAAGCTTTCATCTCAGGATCTCAGACATCAAATAACTCTCTCCCAATCCAGGCGTGAAACACAAGACAAATCTTGTGAACAGAGTTTCCACTCTAAAGCTCCAAAGAGTTCTCATCCAAAGGATTCTCAGGCAGAAATAGAAAAATTCGACGCCAACTCCCCCATAGTTCGAAAGTTAATCGGATGGCTCAACAAGGAGGGAGAGGCCCGGTCCCAGCGAACCGGGAGAGAGACGGGCCAAGGAGAGGATGAGGAGGTGGAAAGTCAGAGCCGCATATCAGTGCACAAGAGGATGCGCAAAAATGCATCCCAAAGGCTGGGACCCAGAACTGAGGAATCTGGAGAAAATTCTGGGGGTCCCGGCAATGAAGATGCCAAAGACATCCTCAAATTGAGAAAAGAAATGGAGGAACTAAAGAGGCAGGTTGACAAGGATGGGTCTTTTGGACCCACAGTAGAGATAATTTCTCCCTTCACTGCCAGAGTGATGAAAGCTCAACTGCCTAGGGGTATGAAAGCCCCTGAAATCCGTTATAAAGGAGTCACCGATCCCAATGATCACTTGGCCGCGTACCAAACTCACATGTTGATGCACGCCGTGGAAGACGAGATCCAATATCGCCTCTTCGTAGGAACCTTGGAGGGGCCGGCCGTAAAATGGTTCCTCACCCTTCCTAACGGGACCATTGATTGCTTCAAAGATCTTGCTCAACTTTTCCTCAACGCCTATGGAGGAAGGTTTTAGCCAAAGAAGCACTTCACCCATCTTTTCTCCCTAAAGCAAAAGGAGGGGGAAACCAACAGTGAATTGGTACAAAGATGGAATGAAGCAATCAATGAGGTGGAGCCTATGGACGATAAGACCTCCATTGCTCTGTTCATGAATGTTCTCAGGTCGGGGGAATTGTTCAGGAAGTTAGATTACGATACCCCTACTTCTTACAAAGCTATGATGGCTAAGGTTAACAAGTTCTGCGCTACAGAAGAGTCAGATCGCCTGAAAGGAAAGAGTGAAGGAGCCTTGCATAAAGGTCCGGACAAAGAAAAGAGAGGAGAAAAGGCCAAGGCGACCACTCTCTCCATCCCTACCCTCAAGTCACTGGCTGCACCGGTGGCAGAAATTAAGAGCAAGGAGGATGGTGGACAGAAGAGGAGACGTGGAGACCAAAAAAGAAGGCAGTGGCCCTATGACCCAGAAAAATATTGCAACTTCCATAGAAGGCCTAGACACGCCACCGAAGAATGCCATTTCCTCAAAAAGATGGAAGGAGAGATGAAGGACAAGGAACCGAATGCTAATCGGGAGCCGAACCAAGGAGGTAATGTTTGGCGTAGAGACGCCCAACCTCAACAGCAAATCCAGGAGAACCCGGAGGAATTCCCCCAAGTAGGAGTCATCTTTGGCGGTCCCGAAACAGGAGTCACAAGCAAGGAGAGGAAGGAATAGGCTCGCAAGCTATATGTGGGGTCCATTGACATAGGCCAAGCGGCCAAGAGAGGAAGGAGGGAGCCCATTGTCTTCTTAGACGAAGATTTACCACTCATTCCTAGCCCTCATCGGACTCCTCTGGTAATTTCTATGGCTATTCACAAATTTTTTGTCAATAGAATATTGGTGGACACCGGAAGCAGTGTCAATGTGTTGTACTGGGAGGCGGCCCAGCAATTAGGAATCAGGAAGGAAGATCTCACAAAGCTTAACATGCCCCTGTCCGGTTTCACTGGAGACATAATTGAACCGGAAGGGTCCATTAAATTGGACATCATCATAGGCGAGCATCCTAGGGTGAGGCATATGAGGATGGATTTTTTAGTGGTCGATATCAAATGCGCTCACAATGCCATCTTAGGGAGGCCTGGGCTAGAGGACTTGGGAGGTGCACTATCCCTAGAACACCTGTGCCTCAAGTTTAGGACTCCCGAAGGTGTTGGGAGGGTCCTTGGCGATCAACCCGCAGCCAAGAAGGCCTATCTAAGTGCCTGCAAGAGGATAGACAAGGAGAACCTCAACATCCAAACCATCGGGCATGTTTTTGAAGATAAAGAAAGGAGAGAGGAGGACCGTGAGAGGCCCAAGCCAGCTGTGGAAACGGAAGAGGTGGCGCTATTCCCGGAGGGAGAACCAGAGAAGGTTGTGAAAATCGGTTTAGGGCTAGAGGAGAATACCCGTGAAGATATCATCCGAGTATTAAGAGAAAACTCGGTCCTCTTCGCATGGGAATCCAAGGATATGCCCGGAGTCGATCCCTCAGTCATTTGCCATAAATGGAACATCAAGGTGGACTCCCTCCCGGTCAAGCAGAAGAAGAGATATCTGTCCACGGACAGAAAAGAATTTGTGAGGAAGGAGGTGAAAACCCTTTTGGAGGCCGGCCACATCAGAGAGGTCCAGTATCCTAAATGGCTTGCCAATGTGGTGCTGGCACCAAAAGGAGACACATTTCGCATGTGTGTGGACTTCACTGACCTCAATAAAGCATGTCCTATGGACCCCTTTCCATTACCAAGAGTGGATCAGCTAGTAGATGAAATGGCGGGCCATGAACTGTTGAGTTTCATGGATGCCTTCCGAGGGTACCATCAGATTGTCATGCACAAGGATGATGCCGAATCCACAACCTTTATCACCCCTGAAGGAGTGTATTGTTACGTGGTCATGCCTTTTGGGCTGCGTAACGCGGGGGCCACATTTACGAGGATGATCTCTTTATTATTCAAGGAGGTCCTGGGACAGATCATGGAGGCCTACGTGGATGACTTATTGATCAAAAGCAAGCAGGCAGCGGACCATCCTCAACACTTGGAAAAATGCTTCAGCATCATGAGGAAGCATAATTTGAGATTGAACCCCAAAAAATGTGCCTTTGGGGTCCAGGGAGGAAAATTCCTTGGCTACATGGTGAGCAAGAAAGGGATCGAGGTCAATCCGGATAAGTTGAAGGCCATCCAAGACATGGAACCACCAACAAATTTGAGGGAAGTCCATAGATTAGCAGGGAGGATAGCGGCCCTGGGAAGGTTCTTGGCACAGTCCGCGGAGCGGTCCCTGCCCTTTTTCACAATTTTAAAGGGAGGGGGAAACTTCCAGTGGACCGCAGAGTGCCAAGAGGCCTTTGAACACTTGAAGGCATATTTGAGCTCTCCACCGGTCCTCTCTAAGCCATTGGCAGGGGATGTCCTTTTCTTGTACTTGGGGGTGGCCCACCTGGTAGTGAGTTCGGTCCTCTTGAGGGAAGAAGAAGGAGTCCAAAAGCCAGTTTATTACACAAGCAGGGCCTTAAGAGGACCAGAAACAAGGTACACTCCCTTGGAAAAATGTGTTTTTGGCGGTGGTGGTGACTGTCAAGAGGTTAACTCCCTATTTCCAAGCTCACCCAGTAAGAATCATGACGGACCAGCCTTTGGGAGTAGTTTTGAGGGACCCATCTTCTTCAAGAAGGGTCATCAAGTGGGCTATGGTCCTCTCTCAATATGATATTTCTTACCAGCCCCGTTCCAGCAAGAAGGGCCAGGTCATTGCCGATTTTATGGTGGAATGCACAGCAAGAGGAAAGCCAGAAGAGGATGGGACCGGTCAGGAAAGAAAAAAGTAGATATGGGAGATTCTTTCAGATGGATCCTGCACTAAAGACGGTTCAGGAGGAGGAGCGGTCCTCACCTCCCCCGAAGGCTTCAAGGCTTATCATTCCTTCAAGTTCACATTTCGGGCCACCAACAATGAAGCGGAGTATGAAGCCCTCATTGGAGGAATCCAGATTGCCCTATTCATGAGGATAAAACACATTCGCCTTAAATCCGATTCAAAACTGGCCATCGGGCAGCTAAAAGGGGAAATGGAGGCCAGGGAAGGAAGGTTGAAAAGATACAGGGATTGCGCCAGGACTCTACTGGGACAATTTGAGTATTATGAACTCATATATGTTCCAAGGGAGGAGAATGAGGAAGCGGATATGCTTGCCAAATTATGTAGGACCATTCCCGTCCACATGGAGGGTATGGTAAGACAGCACGAGAAGACTTGTCCTGTTTGGGAAGAGGCGGTCCCTGTCCTTGAGATATCCGGTCCAGGTACAACTTGGATGAGCCCCCTGATCACATACCTTGAAAAGGGAGAGCTCCCTGTTGACCCCAAGGAGGCCCGCAGAGTTCAATTGATGGCTCCCAAATATCAATTGGATGGAGGGAAATTGTATAAAAGGACCTTGGGAGGACCGATGCTCAAGTGTTTAAATGAGAGAGAGGCAAGAAGAATATTGGAAGAAGTGCACCAAGGAGTTTGTTCTGCTCATCAAGGTGCCCTCACTCTAGCAAGAAAGGTGGTACTCCAGGGGTTCTATTGGCCACTTTGAAGAAGGATGCACTGGAATTGGTAAGGAAGTGCCCAACTTGCCAAGCATTTGCACCAATCCCTGGACGCCCATCCACCTTTTACACCCCAGTCACCACGGCCATCCCCTTTGCTAGATGGGGGTTGGATTTGGTGGGTCCCTTCGTCAAGGGGCTGGAAGGAAGAAATTTGCGATCGTGGCAATAGATTATTTTACCAAGTGGGTCGAGGCGGAGGCCCTTGTGAAGATCACTAAGGAAAATTGCCGTAAGTTCGTGTGGAAAAATTTGTTGTGCAGATTTGGTGTACCTGAGCAAATCATAACAGACAATGGCACCCAGTTTGCCAACACAAGTTTCAAGGAGTTCTGTGATCCATGGAAAATTAAACTCAGTCGGGCCGCTGTAGCCTACCCGCAATGCAACGGGCAAGTGGAAAATGCTAACAGAACTATTGTGGATGGTATTAAGAAGAGATTGCATGAGTTGGGCACGTCCTGGGTGGAAGAGCTGCCCTATGTGTTGTGGGCCCATAGGACCATTCCGAGGAGAGCCACAGGAGAGACTCCCTTCGCCTTGGCCTATGGCTTTGAGGCAAAGGTGCCAACCGAGGTCTTGGTCCCTAGTACAAGGGTGGAGGCATACACCCCGATCCTCAACGAGCAGTTAATGGAAGTGGATTCCCACTTCACGCAAGAAAGGAGGGATGATGTGGCGATAAAAGCGGAAGAGTACCAGCGACAATCCAAAAGATATCACGACAAGAAAACTATACTTCGGGCATTCGAAGTAGGCGATTGGGTCCTGCGTAAAAGGGAGAAGAGTCAGCTTACTAAAGGAGGAAAACTGGCCCAGAATTGGGAAGGACCGTATTGCGTGGAGAGAGTGGTGCGTGCAGGCACCTATCAACTGGCTACTTCTGAAGGAAAAACATTGGACAATTACTGGAATATAGAGCACTTGAAGAAATTCTACCAGTAGGAGCTGGTCCGTCCAAGTTTTTATTTGGTTATGAGCATCACTTTTAAGATGTTTTCTACTTCCCCTTTTTTTTATTAAATGGTTTGTGCGTTGCAAAAAAGAAAGGAAAGGACGTTTTCTGTCAATAATCCGTTCCAGGAGTTCAAAAAAAAATGCAGGAGGGAGGACCGTCCCCAAAAAGATAAAATTAGAACAGAGACATGCAAACGGACAAGTCCTTACAACGATAAGCAGAAATTAATACAAGAAGAACACAGGAGGACCGTTCCTAAACAAATTGCAGTGATTCAAGATGGGGGAGGGGAGCGGAGAAAAGAGGGCTCTGGTCCCATGGGTCCTGGGATGCCTGGGAACTTCAGCCAAGGATCTTGCCCATCAGAATAGGGCTCTAGGCCATGATAAAACTTCTGCTGGACCTCCAATCCTCCACGATAGAAACCTCTATCGTAATCTGAGATGCGATCGGCCTCCATTCGAGCCATATGTCCCTCATATGTAAGACGTTCATTCTCGAGCGAGCGGCGGGCCTCATCAAGGGAACTCCGAGCTGAACGCCTCTCCTCCATAAGGGTTAGGTTTAGCTCGTCAACCCGTTGGGAAAGTCGACATTCGGTTTCTTCATGCTGGAGACGCCACCTCTGCTCAACCTCTTCCGCCGCCTTCCTTGCCTCTTCTTCGGATCGGCGACGCCACGTTCGCTCCAGCTCCTCCTCGAATCTCTTCCGGTGAAGTTCGGCCTCCTCTCGAACTTGCAATTCACGCTTTTTGGCTTGCCGTTCCAAGTCCCTCCTTAGAGATTCCTCACGCTGTCCAACCTTGGCCGAAAGCCGCTCGCGGTCAGAGTAGAGCTGGTCGTTCTCCGACAAAACCCATTTGTATTCCGGGCGCTCGACACAAATAGAGTGCCGAGATTTGAAATCCCGCAGCTCCTTTGATAAAGCAGCATTGTGGTCCAATAGGCGAAGGGAATGGCGCTGAGCAGAGGTAGTGGCAACATAATCGGCCTATCAAAAGAGGAAGAAAGTAGAAGTTAGCAGTCCTAAAAGGCATGAAGGAATAAGTGGAAGACTTAAAACGAGAAGGAGGGGGACACTTACCATGTGAGTATACTCCTCCTGCATAAACGGCCAAACTGGGCTGTGAATCACATCTGGATGGTCCCTTTTAAGCTGTTGTATCTCTTGAAGCTTGCTGTTGAAATCCCGTCCAACCCAGGCTGTGTACCCTGTGTACTGATAGGCCTCCCGGGCATAGGGAAAGGGCTGACTCCCTTGCCCGGTAGCAGACCCATCACCAGCGGTCCCAAAGAAGTGACCAGCGGTCCCCATGGAAGGACCGGCGGACACCAAAGAGCCTGGGAGAGGAGTGGAATTCCGTCCCCTCTTGTGATGGGCCTGGGAAGAAGAAGAAGACCCGGTCTCCTGAGTTGATGGACCGGGAACATCAGTGGGACGGACGGATGATGGGACAATAACCTTCCCAAAACTGGAGGACCGAATTTTTTCCTCCGTCTCCCTAAAGGACCGATGGATATTTGCTCCAGGGAGAGGAACACCACCTTGGCCAAGGGGCGTCCCAAAAATGCTCTCCGCCGCTGACTCTGCAAAATTTAGGGCGGTGGACGGTTGGGGCTGGGAAATTGCCTCATTCCCCCCACAACCAGAGGAGGGGGAATATTCCCATGGAGATCCAGTGCTGCACGGAATCCCAATTCCGGCTACCTGGACATGTGGCGGTTCAAGTGACCCTTGTGAACCGGTGGCGCGCCCAATGGGAAAGGTCCCAGTGGGTTGAGGATGGAAACCCAACGGGCCCATGAACTGGGCAGAAGGAGGAGCCCCCTTGCCAAAAAGAGGAGTATGGGGAACACCGGGGATAAGATCGGACCCCCTCAAGGTCCCCGGAGGGAAGTCGTAGAGGCCGTCGTCGTCGGAGACTTCCTCGACCACCACCTCTTCCGAAAGATGAGGGCGGTCGGCAAGTAGCATAGGTTGGGTCCCAGTCACGGACCCAGCCTCTTCGCCCTCGGTGTCCTCCTCCAGGGAAGGATCCCATCGAGAAGATCGCCGACGGAGTCGAGTGCTCCTGAAAGGAGGAACCCAAGAGGAAGTTGTGTTTCCCGACGGCTCTTGAAGAGGAATATCGGGAGACACCCAGAATCCGAGACCCCAGAGGTTTGAATCCTTGAAGAGAAGCGCTCGGGGAACTGGATGGCCGTTCTTGAGAAGGAGACGGTAGATCCCATCAAGCTCTGAATCACGCGGAGGGAAAGTATGGGAAGGAAATTTGTCTTCCTTCTTTCGCCACACATTGGGGAAGGGGAGGTTCTCCGGGACTACCACCACGAAGAAGCGGCGGAACCAGTCATCAAGTTTGTCAACGGGGCTGTCCCAAAACTGCATATCGGTCCGGGCCGTGAAACTCACGTACCCCCGGCCCAACTCACTGTCGTACTTATGCGGACGGAAGAAAGAGAGGAAGAGCTTCGGAGTGGGTTGGATGCCTCTCTTGTGACACCGCGCCAAGAAGCCAAAAAGACTCTCGTGGGAGTTCGAGGAAATCTGACCGGGAGGTATGGCGTAGCGGTTGCAAAGTTCGATCAAGAGGGGATGGAGAGGGAAGCGGCATCCCATCCTAACCGAGTCGTAGTGGACGACCAGTCGGCGGGAGATGTCAGGATTGCTCTCCTAAGTAGTACCCGTGGCTTCCTGGACGCCATAATCATGAGGAATGACTTCCCTCATCTCCCCCAATTGCACAGGAGTGATGGAGGAAACATTCTCGTCCTCCTTGGATTTCTTACTGCCGTTGAAGATCTTGGAAACCTTGGAGATTGTCTTCTTCATGGTGAGAGAGAATAAAATTCAAGGAGGAAGTCTAGTTCAACAGAAGATGAGAGGGCAAGGAATCGCAGGGTATGAGAGCGTGAGAAAAGAGGTGAGAAGGACCAGATTTATAGAAGAAGAGAAGGGGAAGAAGAAACGGTCCTATATAGCAATTAAAGGAATCAGAGAAACCGGTCAAAAAGGGTTTGGAAAGGTAGGCCATGGATATTTAAGTGGCGCAGAACTCCAGACGGTCCACACTGGCAATTCCCCAGGCCTGCGGTCCTCTGTTACCATCCCCTTTAACTTCCTGCTGCGGTCAACAATTATTAGGGTGATATTGGCCATTGGCACCCCAGACAGTAATTGGACGGATATGCGCCGCCACAGTCCAATGAGTGTGTAGCCACAAGATAGTCCAGTCAGCCAATTATTCATCTATGGCCCGTGGCCCGCAAAGATGTGCTACAGGAAACATCTGGAGTGAATACAAAGTGCTTGGTTTCTTATACTTTCTTCAACATTCATACATACTCTACTTTTGCTCCCTTTTTGTGAGGAGAAAATGGTGCCACGCTGAAGTCACTCTGTACATATATTCCCACCCTGAGAGATATCATTCACCTGAAGAAAGTTGTTGAATTCCAGACTTGAGAGCAATTCTGAGGTTAAATGTAAGGCTGGCAGGTTACATTAGGTAGGTATTTTGCTTCATGACCATGACCATTAATCCCTGATGTATGAGGGACAATAAATTAGCATTACACTGCTTGCAAGTTCTGAGAATTCGTGTGTTTAACAACCAGCTTTCAAGAATAGGACCTGAGACATTGAAGGTTACTCTTTGGGTTATCTTCCTATCACTGGATCTTCTCGTAGGGTTTCCGTTTCTCACCTTAAACTTGGTGTCAAGCTTATAAGAATCACAAGAACATCAAACGCCCGTAATTAGAATTCATTGGCAGTAAATGCACCAATACCCAAAAAAGAAATTAATTTCACTCAACTTAAACACCATGTTCACGTATTGTAATTCCCTTTCGCTTGTGGACAGCGCGAAAGGCAGAGAACGCAGCTCCCCAGTGAGTTAATTTGGTGCATAACCGGTGAGTTATTCCTCATTCATTCAGCCCTCCACAGGATGCTCACAACGTTAGAGCTCATAGAAGAGAAGAGTGTGCTCTTTAACAAAGTAGGATGTCGAGCAATAATTTACCAAAATAACCAAGTAGAAGAGTGTTATCTTTTTTTATATGGCGTTTCATAAAATATTCTCTTTTAAGAAGATTTATTATTACGAGATTGTGATTTTTTTGTTTCTTTGTTTTGGTTTACCTTTTCTGGGTTTGGGCAGGTTAGAGATCATTTTTTAGTCTAATACACTGAATGGAATAGTGATAGTCTTCATTCTTTTTCTTTTACACCTGAGTCTCATGGTTGTGGAATATGGATTCATATTATGCTTTAGTATGGTACCCCCTGTCCCCTGGTTTGTGTTTCTGACTTGAAGCATTACTAAGAAAGTTGTATTTCACATTTCAGTGCTATTCTGGGGTTAGATGTAAGGTTGGCAGGTTACATTAAGTAGGGAATTTTGCTTCATGTCCGATAATCCTTGATGTATGATGGAGAATATAATACCACTACGCTGCTTTCCAGTTCTGAGATTTTCCCTGTTTCAGATCTAGCGTTCAAGGATAGAACCTTAGACATTGAAGGTTACTGTCCGGGTTATGTTCCTATCACTGGATCTTCTCTTAGGGTTTTCATTTCTCACCTAAACTCTATATGTTAGGATTTTTTTTAAAATATTTATCATAACCTATATTGGATTATGGTTATATTTACCTCTTATGATCGGTTCTATGAGGGTCAATTCCTTGGCCTCCAACTCAGGGTTCTCTTACCTCTCTTGAACACCAAATTTTCCCTCCTTTGGCATAAATTCTTCTGCCATCCACTACCTTCAGTTGTTCTCTTTTTCCCTCATCCACACCATATTAATTGTAGTATTTTTCATCCCCTTTCTTAGCGCAACTAGATTATTCCATTGAGAGCCTACGAGCCAGAAAATGCTATGCGGAGAGTAAAGGTTGGTGAGTTCAATTCGGTTCAGCCATATATTCTATAACAGCTAAGCGGTTTATTTTCTAGCAAAATTTTTTTTACTGGCATTGCTCATTGCTGTTTTTTGCCTAATAGAGTTTATTAATTGCCATTGGCATCTCTGTCCACTAAGCAGGTAGTGATTCGCATATCCGGTCATTGAGTTGTCAAGCAGAAGGCATATATTACAGATACCTGAGAGTGTTGGCCTTCTTACGAGATCAAAAGCTTTTATCTTACAACACCCATTGGAACTTACTCCATCTCAGGTGTTTGCGTATCTAACATACCGTGTGTTCAGCATGTTGTTGGATATATGTTTTCATCATCATCTAATTACTATATAAACATATACCCTTCATACATATGCATACTGAAGATCTGTTATGAAAGTCTGCGTTTCTGAGAGTGTGGAATTAAATGGGGCTTTATGCAGATATTTGAGAACATTATGATTGCTTTCAACTTATTCATACCAATTGGTTACCTGGTATTTCCTATTTTTGGAATCAGGATATGTAGAAGCATTTGCATTCACGATTATATCTTATGTAACTTCACTAAAACTACAATTCTTAATAGAGCCTGAACTTTGCAACCGATACAAAGGCCAAGTGACCACCTTATATCTTTATTCTGTAATGACTGGTAATAACTAATGACGGCAAATTAAAATTTTTACCATGTTCCTTTTTTATTTGAATAGAGAGTGCATGTAATACTCTATTATATTCCCTAACCGGTTTTCGACCCCCCCCCCCCACAATATATTAGTTGTTTTTTAAAAACTTCTGTCATTGTTTATAACTCCTAAATCACACTCCATATCATCTTTATAACCAATCTTTTAGATTAACAAGTCTGAACTGAGGTACAATGCCAGCACAGTGTCATTAATGTGTTTCTTTGTGCGTGTGTCTATAGCGTAGTATATGTGTCATTCCAAACACACCTTCAAATAGAAGGATGAGACGGGTAATTTATCATCATTGATGAATGATGTATACGGGGGGCAGATAGAATGCTTACCACATCTCCAGATTGTACACTCATGGAAATCATGGAGGCACACACACAGACATAGTGAAGATGAATCAGGAATATAGAGAAGATTAGGAGGTTAGTCTTTGACCACATCCTGGAACCCCGTCATCAAAGATTCACGTATCATCATCTTTACAGTAAAAACAAAAACCTCCCAAGTAGATGATAGAAAAAGTTAATTTTGTATCAAGGAATTAGAATCGAGACAATAAAGATCCATTCAACTTTAAAACTAATCTTTTCTATACATAAGCCACTTTTAATATATATATTTTTATTTGCAAATTCTCCATATTTGAGGTACATTCCTTTAACATCTAATCTTTGGAGATATCTAAACTGACATGAACGAACAGGAAGGAGGGAGGCAAAATTCAGGTATTTTCCTTTTCAGATTTTTCCTATATTCATTTGCTTTATGTAGTTTACCCACTCTATCTACCCTACGAAAGTCATGTCATTTTAGGAGTAATAAACCAGTCTATCATAAGCTTCTAAACACATGGCCATATTCCCCCAGGTGTTGCGACTACATCAACTCCAAACCACCCCTCGCAAAATCCTTTTAAGGTTTGTTGTATGTAAGATCACATGATATCGTATTCCACAAGTGTGGGGACTACATCAACTCCCAGAGCACCACTCACAAGATCCTCTTAAGTATCAAGGACTAAAAGAAACTGCATGCACAGTGGAGGCTTCCATTTTTTCATCACTATGCATTTCTCAAAAAATCTACCTCATGACATGTTTTTTTATAATCCGTAGACCACATTTTTACTCTCATGGAGACATGAATAAGGTTTAAAGTTACAACCCAGTTCTCATTCATTCCCAGTATGATGTTTAAAACACTCTCTGTTTAAACTTTAAAACTACCTGAGTGCTTACATATAACCTATCATTTACAGAACATCTTTTAAAATCCATTAGTATATAAGAATTTAGTACTACTGTGTGGGATATTATTAAATTCCAGTCCATGGATGTGATAGGTATATAATTACCCCGTTTGTCCTGTTTGCTTGAAAAACCCGTGTTAACTTTGGTGGTTAAACTTTTTTCATTTACATACGATCACTTTGTATGGTAAGTTGATCACTTTTTTCATATATATATATACACAACCCTATAAGATAATGACACCGAGCCTTAATACCAAGCCCGTGCGTAGCACGGGGTAGAAAACTAGTATGATGTAAACCACAAAGATAATCCTATGACATTACTTAAATGCGTTTTTGAATATAATGTATGTTTCTAACCAATGGTTTGTTTTCAGGTGATTCCGACATTCTCAAAAGCATGCAGGGTGACCAGTAATTTTGCTAAGATTGTGTTTTCCGGTCATTGTTTTTCCCCCCTCCAAATCGTGTCATTTTTATTTTGATCCTGATTCTACAATGCTAGTTCGTTGACGTGTACCATCACCCCATCCAAGCAGTGTTTTGATATTTGGTTGAAGAATTTTGTTTCTTGGATTAAATGAACTGTGTCTTTCCCTTTAAGTTCTTGAGTGTTTTGTACTCCATGAATTACTTTAATTACGTATCTTTATTATACATGAGTAGTATTATATGTCATAAACATGACTTTTATGATCTCTTTTCCCTTTAGTTGATTTATATGTGCTCTTGTTGGCCACTTTTATTATCATGCTCTGTTTTCAGGCATGCTACTTATCCAAACAATCCCCAAATATGACGTGTAGAACATGTATTTTTGGTTGTTATGGTTTCAACCTTTTCAAT